GTCCCCACTCCTACTTCTCTTCTGGGGCCCTACAGAGGCAGTGACCCTGTTCTGTAGCCATTGTCTCTCCCTGCTACAGGATGCTTGTCCTCGCTTCACGGGGCACTTGCCAGTTTCTGCCCTGTGGGAGCACAGGGGATGTCTTGCTGTGCCTCTCGCCCCCAGGCCTCCGGTCTCCACCAGGACCTGCCTCATGCCCTGGCGCAAGGGGACTGGATACTTGATTGGCAGTCACGTTGGTAAAAAAAAACAAAAAAACAAAAAACCTAGGAAACGGGGGTGGGTCCACCTCTGTCCAGGCTCCAGCCAGTGTGCTCACAGGCCTTGGGGGGCATCCCGTCACTGTCAGCATGCCTGATGCTGCAGGCTCTATTCTAAATGATGTTTAAGGAATCCCCTGCGGGGCTGCCTGCCCACCTGGCCTGGGATTCTCTTCTCTAGCTCCTGGCTCTCGCCTTGAGGTGAGAAAGGTAGCAGAAAAGAGCTACAGAAGTGTATCTGCCTAGGTATCTGAAACAAGAGCATAGAAAGGGCAAAGTTTCTGGACTCTGGCCACATGAGAAGTTTTATTTTTTCGTGGTGGTGGTTTGTCACTTGAGTTGCCTTTTGATCCAGGGCGTATCCACATTCTCAGCAAGAGCCTCAGTCCTGACTCGGGGGTTAGCATGATGACAGGAGCCCAGGGTCCGGGGCTTAAAACCAGAAAGGTGGCGGAGAGCTAGAGTCCTGGCTTTACCTAAAACACCTTTGTTCCTTGGACACAGTGAGGTCCCTCTTAGGCCACCTGAGTTAAGAGATTGAGGAGACCTCAGGCCAAACGTGGGGGGTGTGGAGTGCCCTGCAGCCCTGATGGGCGTGGTGAAGGGGGGCCTGCAGCTGGGCTAAGGAGCAGTTTTGCGGTTAGTGCCCTCAGCTATGCTTTTGATGGTGAGCTGCTCTCACGGGCCTAGGATTTGAGGGGATGATGTATGCCAGGCTTGAAAGAGGGCCTGAAAGGCCGACTGACCAAGGCTTGGTTTCCAGAAGACAGGGTGGGGTGGCTGGGTGTTTTCTAAGACCCTCTCATAGCTCAAGGCCTGAGGTCAGGGCTCCCCACTCATGAGTCTGGAAGGTACATTCAGCTCCTTAGCCCAGGGGGAAGCTGACCTGGGTGCCTGTAAGCTGCCTGTGCCCAGGTAGAGAGAGGGAGGGACTCCTGGGTGATGTCCTGCAGGGACAGGTACAAATGCCCATTCCTGGGCCATTTGCAGAGCACTTTGGAGGGGATTGCTGTGGCTTGGATGGGGCTAGGGACTTCAGGGGTGAGGGAGGGGCTTTTGCTGAAATTGCACACCTGTGCTAGGAGTCCCTTCTGAGGCTCTGCAGGTGGGGGCCACGTGACTGGCCGGCCAGGCTCTGCTCTGTGATGGCCATGGTGAGTGTTTATTCTGTGCCTGTCATGTGTTGGGGGCCAAGCCATGCTGTGGTACATGTTGTCTCACCCCACATGATGAAGTGAGTCGGTCTTTGTCATTCTTTGTGCCTAAGTAGAGTGAGGCCCAGAGAGGGAAGCAACAAGCCAGGGTTATGCTGCTGGTGAGCTATAGGCTAGAGTCTAAGCCACCATCTGTCCTGGGAGGCTCTGTAATGTTCTGAGTTGGGAGGCCCTTCTTCCTGCCCCTCCTCCCATCAGGATCTTACCGGCAGCCCGGGTGGGCGCTGCAGGAGCTGCTTCTTGGGGTACCCAGGCTCTTGGGAGCTTGGCTCTAGCATGTGGAGTGGGACATTCTGGCCTGTTCTGGCTGGGGCTGTCCATCAAAGGCTTGGCGGGCAGCTGATACTGTGCAAAGCCCTTTGGGACTCAGCTTCTGGCTGGGCAAATCAGGGTAGGTGCAGTCCAGCCTAGCCACTGAGGAGGCTGGGTCTACATTAGCATGTGGCCAGGCCTGCATGTGGAGTCAGGGTCTTGCTCGGGAGGACAGTGAGGGCCTGGATAGCAGGGAGGGCTCTGGAGCCTGGTGACTGCCCTGCTGTGGACAGATCTCCTGGGCTGGGTGTCAGCTGGACCCAGGCCAGCCACCTTGTTTCCACCCAGGAGCATCCCGTGGGTACCTGGTGAGGTGCTGGCTGTGTGTGGGTATCAGCTTGTCTCTTGGCCGGGCTGCAGCATCTTGCTGGCTCACTGTCTTCCAGCTCTCAACTGAGCTGTTGGGATCTACGGGGCAGGGGCCCTACCTCTCCCCGAAGGAGGGCAAGTTTCAGTGCTTCTTTGTGGAATCCTATCACCTAAACCCGTGTTGGGTCTAGAGGCTGCAGGAGGAAAGGGGTGGGAGCTGGCGTGAGAGCTTGGATGTTCCTGCAGCCCCCGAGCTCTAAGGAGGGGCCTATTGGGAGGGGTCTGCAGGCCACCTCTCTCTGCCTCAGAATAGCGGGGTTTCAGGGCAGTGCCGGGAGGTGAGCAGTCACACACGTGGTAACCTTGGTGTTCCTCAGGTCTTAGGATGCCATCCAAGCCTCTCACCCTCAGGTCCACACCCCCCCAGCTGGGCCACCCTGAAATAGAAGAGATGCCAGGTGGGTGTTGTCGCTGTTCTGCTCAGGCCAGTGGTGACTGCAGAGCTGAGCCCTGCCCGGGCAACCTCTCACCAGGAAGCATCGAGAACTAGAGTGCATATGGAGTGGTGTGGGGCCCTGGGGGGG